GAGAGAGAGAGAGAGAGAGAGAGAGAGAGAGAGGTTACCTTGTGCCGACGGCTGGTGGAGGTTGCGAATAGAGGTCGGTGGAGGTCGGCGGATGAAGGTGGAGGAAGGGGGACAGCGGCGGAGGTGGGCAGAGGCACGCGGAGGCAGGCGGACACCGGCGGAGGTCGGCGGAGCCCAGCGGAAGTAGGCGGAGACCAGCGGAGGTCGGAGGAGCACAGTGGAGACCAGTGGAGGCCGGCGGAGGCCGGTGGAGCACAGCGGAGGCCGGTGGAACACAACGGAGGCCAGCGGAGCACAGCGGAGGCCGGCGTAGCACAGCGGAGGCACATCGGAGCACGGCGGAGCACAGCGGAGCACGGCGGAACACGGCGGAGGCCGGCGAGGGCAGGTGGAGTGCGGAGGAGGCAGGCGGAGAGGTGCAAAATAACGCAGGCGGTGAGTCGCGAATGACGACGCAGAAATCTCGCATCTGGTATGGGGGAGGGCTACTATTCTCGAAAACGCTGCTGGCGGGCCGCACGTTCCCTACTGTGGGCCAAGACAAGAAAAAAAGAAGTGTCGGCCTGTTCTCACTGGTACCGGCCTCTTTTTCGTTGGTACCGGTCTCCTTTTCCTTGGTGCCGGCCTCTTTTTCGTTGGTACCGTCCTGTTTCGGGTTTGGTACCGGCCTCTTTCGCGTTGGTGCTGCTCTCTTTTTCGTTGCTCACCGGGCTCTTCTCAGTTGGTTCCGCTGTTTATTTCGGCACGTGTGCTCCATTTCTCCTCACAAGTGCAGCTTGTGGCGGACTTTCGGGTATTCTTCCTCTTCATGTTTTTTCTTTGCTTTGGGGGAAGGCAAGAGAGGAGAAGAGAAGCGTGGAGTAGAGAAGATAATGAGAAGAGAGATGAAAATGAGAGATGAAAATGAGAGATGAAAATGAGAGAAGAGAGGAATCAAGGGATACTTGAGGAGTAGATAAGAGGAGGGTAGACGAAAGGATAGCCGTAGAGAAGATAAGAAAGCAGAGGAGAGCAGCGTTATACCCTCTACACTGTCTTCACGATGACTCGCAAAGGTACGTGTGAATATCCCTCTTCTCTCTCTCCCATTCAGTTTTTTGTTTGACCTTTCTTAATTCTTCTTTTCATTGCGCTTGAGAAACAAATGGCCACCTTTTTTTTTTCGAAAAGCGGCGAAAATCATGGAAATATCTTGCCTTTGGTAGAATGGTTGGTAAATCGTCATTCTCCCCACCCTATACGACATGATAGGTGGGGAAAGTACACCCCCCCACTTTTTTTTCTTTTCTTATAATGCCGAAAATGTCGTATCTGTTTGTTGGTAGATAGGTCGTCAATCTCCCCACCCTGCACCACATGATTGGTGGGGGGAGATTCGCGATTTTCCCCCCATCTTTTCTTTTTTTGAAAAATGCAGAAAATGTCTGATCTGTTCGTTGGTTGCTAGGTCGTCAATCTCCCCACCTTGTACCACATGATTGGTGGGGGGAGATTTGTGAATCTCCCCCAATCTTTTTTTTTTCTTCTGAAAACGGCGAAAATTGTGCAAAGATCGTGCATTTCGTAGAAAGGTTGGTAAATCGTCACTCTCCCCACCCTCTACGGCATGATAGGTGGGGAAAGTAGGCGGGGGGGCGAGATTCGCGAATCTTCCCCCACCTTTTTTTTTATTTCATAATGCCGAAAATGTCTGATCTGTTCGTTGGTTGCTAGGTCGTCAATCTCCCCACCCTGTACCACATGATTGGTGGGGGGAGATTTGCGAATCTTCCCCGACCTTTTTTTTTTTTATAATGCCGAAAATGTCTGATCTGGTCGTCAAGCTCCCCACCCTGTACCACATGATTGGTGGGGCGAGATTCGCGATTCTCCCCCCATCTTTTTATTTTTTTGAAAAATGCCAAAAAATGTCTGATTTGTTTGTTGGTTGCCAGGTCGTCAATCTCCCCACCCTGTACCACATGATTAGTGGGGGGAGATTCGCAAATTTTCCCCCGTCTTTTTTTTTCAGAAAACGGCGAAAATCGTGCAAAGATCTTGCATGTGGTAGAAAGGTTGGTAAATCATCACTCTTCCCACCCTATACCACATGATAGGTGGGGAAAGTAGGTGGGGGGGGAGATTCGCGAATCTCCCCCCACCTTTGTTTTTTTGAAAAATGCAGAAAATGTCTGATCTGTTCGTTGGTTGCCAGGTCGTCAATCTCCCCACCCTGTACCACATGATTGGTAAGGGGAGATTCACCCCCATCTTTTTTTTTCTTCGGAAAACGGCAAAAATCGTGCAAAGATCTTGCAGTTCGTAGAAAGGTTGGTAAATCGTCACTCTCCCCACCGTGCACGACATGATAGGTCGGGAAAGTAGGCGAGGGGGAGATTCACGAATCTTCCCCCACCTTCTTTTTTTTGTTATAATGCCGAAAATGTCTGATCTGTTCGTTGGTTGCTAGGTCGTCAATCTCCCCACCCTGTACCACACGATTGGTGGTCGTCACTTTCCCCGCCCTATAGTGGATGATTGGTGGGGAAAGTAGGTAGGGGGGGGGGGGGGGGGGGGGSAGGGGGGGGGGGGGGGGGGGGGGGGGGGGGGGGGGGGGGGGGGGGGGGGGGGGGGGGGGGGGGGGGGGGGGGTTGGAGGGGAGTGTGTGGCGTTTTCCGAAATGCCGCATCCCGTCGACCCTGTCCACATACAGGGCCGAAGGGGGTACGGCGTTTCGAGAACGCCGTACCCCCTCTCGTTCTTGGTGGGGGTGGAAGCGGGGGTACGGCGTTCTCGAAACGCCGTACCCCCGCTCCCACCCCCACCCGACAACCGAAGGGGGTACGTCGTTTTCAAAACGCCGTACCCCATCAGCCCTGTATGTGAACAGGGTGGAGGGGGTACAGCGTTTCGAAAACGTTGTACCCCCTCCGGTTCTCGGTGGGGGGCGGGAGCGGGGGTATGGCGTTTTCGAAACACCGTACCCCCGCTACTTTCGCCTCTCGGCAACCGAAGGATGTAGGGCGTTCTGGAAACGCCGTACCCCTTTGACCCTGTTCACGTACAGGGCCGAGGGGTGCGGCGTTTTGAAAATGTCGTACCCCCTTCGGTTGCCGGCCGGGGGTGGGAGAGGGGGTGCGGCGTTCTCGAAACGCCGTACCCTCGGTCCCACCCCCGCCCGGCAACCGAAGGGGGTACGACGTTTTCAAAACACCGTACCCCCTCGGCCCTGTACGTCAACAGGGTCACGGGGGTACGGCGTTTCCAAAACGTCGTACCTCCTTGTGAACAGGGTCGACGGGGTATGGCGTTTCGAAAACGCCGTACCCCGTCCGGTTCTCGGTGGGGTGGGAGCGGGGGTGCGGCGTTCTCGAAATGTCGTACCCCCTCCAGTTCTCGGAGAGGATAGGGAGGTGGGCGTGCGGCGTTCTGGGAACGCCGTAGCCCGACAGGGCCGACGGGTGCGGCGTTTCGAGATCGCTGTACCACCCCTCCCTCTCGTCTCCGATGGCTGGAGGAAGTACGACGTTTTCAAAACGCCGTGCCACCTCGCCCTTGCTTCGCAGAACCGGCGGGGTAGGGCATTTTCTGAACGCCCTGTGCCATGCGACGCTCGACTGCGTCGGCGACTCACGTGAGGCGATGGTGGAAGGCTTGGAATCTGAATGCGATCCATTCCTTCGTTTGGAATGTGCCTACCATCAGGAGGAGCATCTGGTGTCCCAGAAAAGAGAGTCTACAACACGTGCACAATCTATAGAGATAGGGAGTGGGCCCTTGATTGGGTGGGGGGGCTACACGAGGCGGGATGTGGGGCCGCTGTGTTTCTGAAGAACGCCTCGGGTGACGACTGGTTCTGTGTTGAAGGGATTGTTAAATCCGAGGATGAGAGGGTGGACGGGCACGGACGGAAGTTCAGGAGGTTTTTCCTCACAACGGTGTTCGACGAACAAGGACTGGACCATGCGAAGGCCGACCGTAAAGTCAGCCTTGATTACAATCTGTTCAAGGGGTATGGCGGTAAGGCTATTACCATGAAAGCCTTCGATGTGTCCCCGAAAGAAGACGGGAGTGTGTTGACGATGATTGGCCCCGTTAAATTCCTCGCCAAAATGAACGGCTACAAGAGATCCGGAAACAGTCCCACGGTTGAGGCCGAGCATCGTATGTCTCCGACATTCGTGCCTTTGACACGCCGGACGAGGATCTTCCCGGTATAGCAATGATAGAGAGACAAAGGACACCACATAGTTTTCCAACACAGCAGACGTCAGCGAGTGGGAGCCGGCGCCGCAATAAACAGAGCCAGCCGCGTCGTCCACCAGGCGAGGATGAGCATGGTCCTCCTGTGGGTTCGTCCCGCCGGATGGAGTGTGCTGGACCGTCTCAACCGTCCCGCCGGCAAGACCAAGGCACCCCTGTCATCACATACAAAAGGAAGGCCCTGACAACTCGTCCCTCTCCCAATTGCCAGAAGGACGAAGGGGGTGCGTCCTGGAAGGCGGTGCTGCGGGAGATCAGCGAAGGATCGGACGAGGAAACGGAGGATGATTCTAGGATATGTGTTGGTCGACATCCAGAGGGTAATCATGGCGTCGACGATGACGAATGTGGTGTCGATGAGGACGACGTCGAAGAGGAGAACAACGAGAGGGAGAGAGAGAGAGAGGATCGTGAGGAATCTATGCACGACTGCGAGGGTGGGGAGTTTCAACAATACTATGAGGACGACGGGGGCGATGGAGAAAACGATCATTTCTATCCTGTAGGTGATGACGATGGACGGCAAGAGCAGTCGGCTGATGTGGGGGTCGACGACGCAACAGGAGAGCGGTCGGAGGCCAGTGTCCAGAAAAGGAAGCGACAATCTTCAACAAGTCCAACGGCGGATAAGCGGGCTGCGAAGAAACTCACTGTCGCTGCATCTCGACAGACGCTCAAAGCTTCTCAAGAGGCGGTCGCTGAAAGCGTGAAGAAACGAAAAGGGTCCGCGTCGACAAGGGCGACAAAAGCGGACAAACGTCCACCGAAAAGAAAGCAGATGGTGGATGAGGGTGACTATGGAGAGGATGCCGAAGGGGTTCCTCCAAGAGATGTGTCGGAACAGACACAACCTTCCGCCAACACCTGTGATGAAGCCATTGACACAATACGGTGCTTCTTCTTGGAGTTCGATGAAGATGGGTTTGCAAAGAAGAAAAGGGAACACATTTAAGTGGACGTCACGAAGATCTTGCCAATCCCTGAAGCTGACATCCTCTTCAACCAGAGAACGTTGGACGAAACGTTGGTGCAGACCATATATGATGCGATCCATCATGCGGCCAAGGAAACCAACGGGAAGTGGGATTTCATGACTTTCATCCTGGCTTTCATTGTGCCCAACTGGGACGGGTCTCAAGGCAGACGGATCACACCAGAGCAATTCGACGTCGAACTGGCTCATACATACAACTGGTATGCTGTTGTTGGCCAGCACACGGCTGAGGCAATGAACAGACTCATTAAAGCCAAGTCACCAGCCGAGAAAGTGTATGGCTTGAGGTCATACTCTCACGTACATGTTGTCTACTTTGATAATGACAGAAAGACAGGATATTCGTACGTCTCGACGTTCGACAACACGAGGGAGGAGCGTTCGATCCCGAGATCGTTTTCATCATCTGTGCGCCAAATTAGAACATTTTGGGATAAGAGGAATAACCGGATCCGTCCGCCAAGGACCGTGTCCCCGAATGACGTCGAGGGAATGAAACGGAAAAAGAAATGGGAAAAGTTCATGAACACCGCTTGCAAAATGACACCTGATTCTGGTCTCATGAACTCGTCCCTGGAGAACGACTACTGCAAGGACTGGACGAACAAGATGCCCGGATACATGAATCTTGCGCAGTGCGGCGATACGGTGTGACCACTAGTACAAAGATTCTTTGACATGTACGAGAAGGGGCTTTTGCCGCGAGCCGACGGTATGAAATATATCGACCTGCCGGGGAAAGTGGAAGTGAGGCTGCCTAGGCAATACTTCCTCAAGGATAACTCCGACAAAAAGTCCTGTTCCACTGCATCAAGGCCAAAAAGGGGGCACCAGGCGCAACGGTGTCTATACCTGACTTGACGCCCACAATCTTCAAGCTATTCGACGATATGACAACGCGAGAGAAGCAAGTGGCGCTTCACCACATGATGCGTAGTGATGTCATCGTGACATCACGTTCGGTACCTCGTGGTACATGCAACATGGCGGACCTGGTTAAATATACTCGGCGTGAAAGATATATGGTCCGTATGTTCAACTACATATTGTTCAAGGCCGAGGGGAGGTAAAAAGAAGAGTAGAGCACTGACTTTTTCATCAGTTATACGACCATCTTGCGGAGGTACAGCAAAAACGGCCTGACGGACAAGAAATAGACCGAGGAACGCGACCGCATCCCTGACGACAAGGCGAGGAAGGTGTCGAGGCGTTTGGGCGGTCCTGATGAGATTAATGATGAGAACGGTGCGGGACTGGAGGCAACCCAAGGCATGTACAAGGAAACCCCGTTCCACCTCAAGTGTTTCATCTACGAGGCAATCGACTGCTTGGACGACTTGAGAGCGGAGGTTAATCGGATATCCTCTAGTGCTTGTCACATATTTTGGGAAGTGGGGAAGAGGATTACCACGATCGTGCTATTTGAAATCGAACCGAAGGGAGTGCTCAACGATAACGAGGAGGTTGTTGGTACGGCGAGGGGGATGAAGATACGGGCAACGATTCTTGATATGTCAACATCACTAAAATGTGTTCCGTGAGATGATGACACCTTTTCCAAACTGTACGCTTTCCTCATGACATGCTGTGGCGAAAACTGGGCCTTGATCATTTTCGCGCCGATGAAACACCAGAAACAGGTGATGCATAGTGTGTACAACTGGGATGATGTTGAGGTGCTCACACGGTCATGGTACAGACACTATACACCTTCGACAACCTTGAATAAGTACGGCAACATTCCAGTTCGGTACACTGACATGATGGCTATTGTCCTCCACGCTGAGAACGACAATTTGGACAATATAACGGTTGCGCCGAAATTGCGAGCCGAGTTGACAAATTTGAACGTTGAAGAGGGTGAATTTGTGAGGTGCTCAGGGGAGTGTATCGGCGTGGAGGGCGACACCGACGCGGTTTATTCTTGGATGGAACGAGAGCCAGCACGTCTCCGAAAACTGTGCAGCTCGTTCATCAGGGAGGACGATGGCGTGATGCTGTTGGGCAGAGCGCATGCGGGACTGATTTGGGAACTCGCTCGCGCCGGACACCACCTGTTTGCGTGTAACGACACGACAAAAAAACTCACATACCTTTCCAAGTTTTTGGAGTTTTATGTGAAGGATCCGAGGAACAAATGTAGGTTCGAAAAACCCCAAGTCGAGCACCGCAAGGACCGGGACATTTACTATAAGCTCGGCAGGAAGAGGGAGAAAGTGTGGGCTTATTTGTTCGGTGACGCTCCACGGTCGACGGTTGATAACGACTACGTCATCAGGAAAAGTGAACTCGAGATAGCAATGAACGAGTACCACGGATCGCACATGGGTGTTTTCCACATGTTCGTCGCACGTTGTGAGCATCTGTATTTCAATATGAAAAAAAAAACACTATCATGCAGGGATTATGCGGACTTGGCACGTAAAGCGGGGAACTTCAACAACATCGATTGTGACGAAGACACGTCAGACTCTAACATGGACGTTCCATCGTGCGCGACACGACGTTCGACGCAGGGAGCACGTGCCGAGGAGCCGCAAGGGAGCACCAATGCAGATGCGGAGAAGGCGAGATCGAGTTTGGGAGCGACACATGCTAGTGAGGGAGACGTGGAACATAGAATGATTGCAAGGGGAGAAAAGAATGGTGTACCAACGAATCCGGTGGCTGCGAGTGAGGAAATTGTTAACTCACGGGGCAACACAGGGGGAGGAGAAAATGGGTGTGAAATGACCCCGCCGACAGTTGGACCATCATCGACACATGCACCGCAGGCCGAGCAGCGAACTCTCACGTCGATGGACACAGATGAAGATGAAGACATGGATATGACAGCAGTCATGCCGAAGCTCGTGCCAGGAAAACCGTTACCTCAAGGCTTTGCTCAAGACCCTTCAGTGCCATACTTGCTGCACGACAAGTACAAAGAGTCATCGGAGGAGGACTGGGGTCATCATATTCTCTGGCATGAGGGCGTGTTCGAACCGTGCGTGTTTGCGGGCAAGTGGCAAATGGTTGTGAAGACAAGAGACCGCGGGTGGGTCGCGAAGGAAAGAAAGGACGTTGCGATATGGCACAGCGTGACGGAGACGCAACTTTTTCGGCGGGTTGCAAAAGAAAATGTCGGTGCAACCGAGGTGGCTGTAGCGGCAAAGGCGAAAGCTTTGTTTGAGCATCTGCGTGTGAACAAACAACTAGAATTCWGCACAAAGTTCTACGACCTTGCATCAAGTGTGTCGTACGGCTCCATCGATTGGAAAATCAAACAAGCGTCAGCAGTGCAAGGAATCGATAGCATCACCTCTCTGAAGACTCAAGACGTCATCGCGTCTAACACCATTGTTGCGATGGTCAGAGGGGATGCAGGCTGCGAAACGGACACACGTGCGAACGCAGGGCACATACAGAATGAACAGTTACAAGCATGTATTCAACAAAGCACACAGAGAAGCGCAATGGCGGATTTCACTATGATATGCAAGGACGGCGACGACATGGAGTCGGGCATATTGACAGAGCTGCCAACGCGCAGGGTCAACGATGGGGCAAAAATCGTTGGATCTTTCGGGTCTCTTGTCGTGACAATGGCGGCGAGGCAAGGCGTATCTGAAATGATGGAGACCGATGCGGACCAGGATATTGAAAGCCAGACCGTGAAGGTGGCGCCAGAGCAGGTGGCGGCAACAACAGAGGAGACGAAGAAAGGTGAGGGATCTTGCGAACACATTTCCATAATAGATATGAGATCGCGGAGTACGGGCGAGGATATGATTCAAGATAACGACCAGAACGATGACCACGCTGCACCACGAGTGGAAGGTGACGACGAAGAGGACGCGCAACGACCGAGACGGTCAACGAGAGCAATAATTAAGAAAATTGTGTTTGATGTGTAGGAAAGCCTTAGACGGGCATGGGCGTTTACATGTTTCAGGTTATATTGATGTGTCGCCACAAATCATGATGCGATATTCACGCGGTCCTCACATGGGGTGTCTACGCATTTCTTGTTAAATTGATAGGTTGCCGCTGGGTACTATGTTAAAAAACTATGTTAGACAGGAATGGGTGTAAACGCATTTTGGGTTATATTGTTGTCTTAATGGAAGTGTTATTGTGACACTGCAATTCTCAAAATTGTAGTGCCGATAATAGAGGGTGCCC